TAATCTTAAAGGGTCAGTCATTTGATTAAACCTGGCACCATTGTGAGTTTTTCCTGAACACTCCTGTTTTTCTTGAATAAAATCATTTTCATCAACCTACTACACTATGGGTTCTTTCCTGTGTCTTCTGCGATCAGCCTTTTCAGCTTCTGCAGACCCAGATTGATCCCTGCACCAGCCTTTGAGAGGAGGAATTTTCCACTTCACACACTTCTGTAAGGATTTCTGTGACCTGCTGGACCTCCATTTCGCCACACGAGGGCGCTTCATCTCTACTATCTTCAGCTCCTGCCCATTACCAGACCAGAAAAGAGAGGGGAATCTCCATGATATCATATACACATGCGTATTATTAATATGTTTCTGGTTAGTGCGCATTTCTAACTTTTGCACTGGGAATCAGCGAGCACCATTACTGGACTGTGATTTATTTATTTATAAATTTATTTATTCATTTGCTTTGGTTTCATTTATTATTTATATCTGCCCGCAATATAGTAACATAACACAGCGCTGCATTTTCTTTATATATATATTTTTGGGACTTTTATGTGTTTTCCTTGAATGTTCAGCTGCTGACCATTGGAGCGCTCACTGTATTTTTTATACTCTCATGATTATGGCTTACAGCTCAAGAAAACCCCAAATTCACAATCTCAGAAAATTAGAATATTGTGAAAAGGTGAAATATTCTAGGCTCAAAGTGTCCCACTCTAATCAGCTAATTAAGCCATAACACCTGCAAAGGGTTCCTGAGCCTTTAAATGGTCTCTCAGTCTGGTTCAGTAGGAATCACAATCATGGGAAAGACTGCTGACTTGACAGTTGTGCAGAAAACTATCACTGACACCCTCCATAAGGAGGGAAAACCTCAAAAGGTAATTGCAAAAGAAGTTGGATGTTCCCAAAGTGCTGTATCAAAGCACATTAATAGAAATGTGGAAGGGAAAAGTGTGGAAGAAAAAAGTGCACAAGCAGCAGGGATGACCGCAGCCTGGAGAGGATTGTCAGGAAAAGGCCATTCAAAAGTGTTGGGGACTTTCACAAGGAGTGGACTGAGGCTGGAGTCAGTGCACCAAGAGCCACCACACACAGATGGATCCTGGTCATGGGCTTCAAATGTCGTATTCCTTTTGTCAAGCCACTCCTGAACAACAAACAGCATCAGAAGCATCTTACCTGGGCTAAAGAAAAACAGACCTGGTCTGTTGCTCAGTGGTCCAAAGTCCTCTTTTCTGATGAGAGCAACTTTTTCATCTCATTTGGAAACCAAGGACCCAGAGTATGGAGGAAGAATGGAGAGGCACACACTGCAAGATGCTTGAAGTCCAGTGTGAAGTTTCCACAGTCTGTGTTGATTTGGGAAGCCATGTCATCTGCTGGTGTTGGTCCACTGTGGCTTCCTTAAGTACAGGGTCATTGCAGCCGTCTACCAGGAGATTTTGGAGCACTTCATGCTTCCTTCCATAGAAGAGCTTTATGGGGATGCTGACTTCATTTTCCAGCAGGACTTGGACCTACCACACTGCCAAAAGCACCAAAACCTGGGTCAACGATCGTGGAATTACTGTGCTTGATTGGCCAGCAAACTCTCCTGACCTGAACCCCATAGAGAATCAATGGGGCATTGCCAAGAGAAAGATGACAGACATGAGACCGAACAATGCAGAAGAGCTGAAGGCCACTATTGAAGCATCCTGGTCTTCCATAACACCTCAGCAGTGCCACAGGCTGATAGCTTCCATGCCACGCCGTATTGAGGCAGTAATTGCTGCAAAAGGGTCCCAAACCAAGTACTGAGTACATATGCATGCTTATACTTTTCAGAGGTCCGATATTGTTCTATGTACAATCCTTGTTTTATTGATTGCATGTAATATTCAAATTTTCTGAGATTGTGGATTTGGGGTTTTCATGAGCTGTCAGCCATAATCATCACAATTATGACAAATCACAGCTTGAACTATCTTGCTTTGCATGTAATGAGTCTATCTCATATATTAGTTTCACCTTTTAAGTTGCATTACTGAAATAAATGAACTTTTGCACGATATTCTAATATTTCGTGTTTCGCCTGTATGTTTCCAAATCCTCTGTTGTAAGCCATTCACCAGGTGTCACGGGCTGCATTCTAGTTTTGGACAGTAGCTTCTCTTACATTGTATCTGAAAAGCTTTGATTTCTGTGTCCAAAACCACTCTCCCTGGGTAAATTGTATACATTTCAAAGATGTTTGCCGGGATAGGGGCACATTTGTTTTGGCAGTGTTAGATTGGTTGTCATTGCAGACTGTATATGAAGTTCCAGTTGTGTGTGCTTGTGTATATATATTTGTATATATAGCATGTTTTATGTGAGCTGTTCCTTGAGGTAAAAGGAGGCTTACAGCTGGCAGTCATCCAGGAGTTTACTGGGCTTGACATCTGTAATAAATGTCTGCCTTATGTTTTTTTTAAAAATAGGTAGCACTTGTACTGTAATCAAGAGATTTATGAGGTCTAAAATGGCCTAAGTGATAGATTTTGTGAGACAGATTTATTGTATGATAGCAAATTGATAAATAACTCATTGTCCTGCTCAGAAATAACTGTGTCAGTATAAAGTATATACTTGACGACATCTGTTCAAATTATGCAAGCACAGAGGTAAAACCGACGCAGATTACAAGCTGTGCCAGATTACAGGCCTGAATATCTGACATATATGAATGAAGAAACACATCTGAAATGTAAAAGATAGGAACATAGTTATGATGGAATTTTGCTCAATAACACAACTCCATTCACAACACCATATCTTCCTAACTTGACCTAATTAGTGCGGTTTGAAAAAAATTGCAAGATATGAGTAAACAAATATTTGCTTGGTATATATAATTTTTTATTTTTTTTAAATATACTATATTACCAAAAGTATTAGGGCACCCCTCCAAATCATTGAATTCAGGTGTTCCAATCACCTCCATCGCCACAGAGGTATAAAATCAAGCACCTAGGCATGTAGACTGCTTCTACAAACATTTGTGAAAGAATGGGTCGCTCTCAGGAGCTAAGTGAATTCAAGAGTGGTACCGTGATAGGTTGCCACCTGTGTAATAAGTCCACCCGTGACATTTGCTTGCTACTAAATATTCCACGGTCAACTGTTAGTGGTATTATAACAAAGTTGAAGCAACTGGGAACAACAGAAACTCAGCAATGAAGTGGTAGGCCACGTAAAATAATAGAGCAGGGTCAGCGCATTCTGAAGCACACAGTGCACAGAATTCGCCAGCTGTCTGCAGAGTCAATAGCTAAAGACCTCTGAACTTCATGTGTCCTTCAGATTAGCACAACAGTGTGTAGAGAGCTTCATAGAATGGGTTTCCATGGCCGAACAGCTGCATCCGAGCCTTGTATCACCAAGTGCAATGCAAAGCTTCGAATGCAGTGGTGTAAAGCACGCTGCCACTGAACTCTGAAGCAGTGGAGATGTGTTCTCTGGAGTGACAAATCATGTTTCTCTGTCTGGCAATCCGATGGACGTGTCTTGGTTTGGCGGTTGCCAGGAGAACGGTACTTGCCTGACTGCATTGTGCCAAGTGCAAAGTTTGGTGGAGGGGGATTATGGTGTGAGGTTGTTTTTCAGGGGTTGGGATTGGGGTTGGCCCCTTAGTTCCAATGAAAGGAACTCTTAAGGCATCAGCATATCAAGACATTTTGGACAATTTCATGCTCCCAACTTTGTGGGAACAGTTTGTGGATGGCCTCTTCCTGTTCCAACATGACTGCGCACCAGTGCACAAAGCAAAGTCCATGAAGACATGGATGGAGCGAGTTTTTGGGGGAGGAACTTGACTGGCCTGCACAGAGTCCTGACCTCAACCTGTTAGAACACCTTTCGAATGAATTAAAACGGAGACTGTGAGACAGGCCTTCTTGTCTGACATCAGTGCCTGACCTCACAAATGTGCTTCTGGAAGAATGGTCAAACATTCCCATAGACACACTCCTAAACCTTGTGGACAGCCTTCCCAGAAGAGTTTGAAGCTGTTATAGCTGCAAAGGGTGGGCCAACTCAATATTGAACCCTATGGACTAAGACGGGGATGCCATTAAAGTTCATGTGCGTGTAAATGCAGGCATCCCAATACTTTTGGCAATATAGCGTGTGTGTGTTGTGTATACATACACACACGCTCTGTCAACATGTTATACTCGCCCCCAGAGCACTCCACTGATCCCTTTTCCATTGCAGCCACTGGTGCTTATGAGTATGGCGGAAGATGTAGTCTACTTCCATAATGCAGTGTTTCGGTCGAGCTGTTAATTGCTAGCCACAGATGTTATCGAGTGATTACATTTCTGTTTGTAAGCTTCGACGTATGGTATTTTGCAGTGGCTGTGACCTGGCACGGGGAGTGCTCTGAAATCAAAGGGAAGTTGCGAATAACTTGGCTGGCAAGTGGTTTTAAAGAAATCCTGTCTTTTTGCCGTAAATGGGCAAGTTTACAGGGTCTCTTTTAAAGTCCTGCAGAAGTTAGACTCAGTCAGTGTGGATATAAATCTATTGACTGGGAACCTCAAAAATACACAGAGCAACCCTTAGTCAGTTCCTGATGAACTAGCTGAATCCGCTCAGTGGGTGGCCCCAATTACTGCTTCCCTCCCAATATCCCTAGATTGACAATAATCTGCTCAGCTCAATTTCTCAAACAAACAGCACAGCACCTGCATCCAATCGGATGTATTTTGACAGCAGGCAGAGCTGGCTGTGAAAATACAATAGCTGTGGCAGGAGATTTGTCCATTTACATTGTGGCCACACAAATATCTGTCAGATTCTGCGATCCATGCTACATTTTAGAGATTTTGTGAATAGTTAAGGAACCCCTTCTCCCCCTCCTTAAAATTGGTGTTTATTGTACATTTCTGTTGTTGTGTGTGTGTGTGTTTTTTTTTTTTTTAATCCATATTACTAATTTGCTAATTAACTGTATATGGTCATTTTATGTGTTATAGCCTAAACTCAGCATGGCAAAATGCAGGCGCAATGTGGAAAACTTTCTGGATGCGTGTAAAAAACTTGGAGTTCCACAGGTGAGTCTCATTTTTATTCTCAAGTTACAAATCCGGATTATTTATCAGTTTTACTGTGAGTGGAGTGTTGGAATCATTTCAACAACTCAGCTTTTTGCATGTAAACATAATTAAAGTAACTTTCACCCATTCCTGCCCAGCCCTCTCATCCCTTTAAAGTGGTTGTAAAGTAAAATTCGGGCTTCTGTCGGCGCTCCCGGCTCCTCCCCTCTTGCTGGTGCCCCCGCTTTAATGCCAATTCCCATGGGGGCACTTGTGCGGGCTCGCGCCCAAGTCCTGCTGTGTCAGTTGACACAGACAGCGAGACTTGGCCCTGCCCCCCGCTCCCTTGTCACTGGAGATGATTGACAGGAGCGGGAGCTGATGTCGCCTGCTGCTATCGATCTGCCCAGTGAGAAGAAACAAAGCCAGGAGACCTGCAGCTCTCGTGTACAGAACTGGATCATGATGGGGCTCAGGTAAGTATAAGGGGGGGCATGGGGAGGGGGGGCTTCTTTTACAAAGACGTTTCTTACCTTATTGCATAGATTGTCACAGTGGTCACCTATTTCGAAGACCAGCCTGCCACTTCCAAACCATAAGAAGAGACCACACACATGTATATACATTCACACACACGTGATTTCGCATTTCTGGGTAGGGGGCGCGTACACCGCCATTGGCGGCTACGGCTGTCGATCACGGGTCCCGGCCGGTGATTACCTGGTGATTGCCAAGGAACACTGACAGGGGAGAGGTCTGTATGTAAACAACACAGATCTCTCCTCTGTCAGTACCAGCATGCTGCTTTGTATTGCTCTGCATAAATACAAAGCAGCATGCTTACATAGTAAAACGCACACTGTTAACCCTTTGATCTCCCCAGATGTTAACCCCTTCCTGCCAGTGTCATTACCAATACAGTGATCAGTGCTAATAAAAAGCACTGACACTGTACTGTCACTGAGGATGTCAGTGGCAGTTAGTTCCTCCCCAGTGTCAGAATGCCCGCCACAGTCCCTAAATGTAGTCTAAATTTATGCCAAAATTTGATTTTTTTTTTACATTTTTTTTTTATATGTTTTATAGCAAAAAGTCAAAAATATTGTTCTTTTTTTCTAAATTGTCGGTCTCTTTTTGTTTATATAGCGCAAAAAAATAAAAAAGGAAAAGGCGATCAAATACTGCCGAAAGAAAGTTCCATTTGTGGGGAAAAAGGACATAAATTTCATTTAGGTGCATGACCACGCAATTGTCAGTTAAAGTAACAGCGCCGTATCGCAAAAAAATGGCCTGGTCAGGAAAGGGGGTAAATCCTTCTGGAGGGCAAGTGGTTAAATCAGAGTTTGCAATAAAATGCAAGGTCTGCTTATTTCCCAAGATTCATCCCTCCCCTATGCCAAAATGTGGAATTACAATAAACAAAAATTACTTCCACTTTCTCCTGTAGTTCCAGGACAAGGATAATGTCATCATTCTTCCAGCAAGATCCTGTGGAACACTGAATAGCCCAAATCCAGCACAAAAACGCTTTTGCACTGTTGTAGAATGTTTCTCATGATACAAGCTGTGGGCTATTCAACATGGGATCATGTCTGAAGGATAGTAAGGTCATTCCCTGCAGTAAAAAAAAGCCAGAAGTAAAATAACAAGTTTTTTATTCCCCTCACCTCCCTCCCCTTTTCTTTCTTTAAAGGTCCACTTTAACCACTTGCCCTCCGGAAGATTTACCCTCCTTCCTGACCAAGCCATTTTTGTGATATGGCGCTGTGTTACATTAACTTACAATTGCGTGGTAATGAAACGCTGCACACACATGAAATTTGTCTTTTTTTTCCAACAAATAGGGCTTTCTTTCGGTGGCATTTGATCACCTCTACATTTTCTGACTTTTTGCTATAAAACCTATCCAATAAAAATATAAAATTTCTTCATAAATTTTAGGCCAAAATGTATTATGCTACATGCCTTTTGCTAAAAAAAAAAATCCCAATAAGTGTATATTAATTGGTTGACATGAGTTATAGTATCTACAAATGGCGGTATATACAGTTAGGTCCATATATATTTGGACACAGGCACAATTTTTATACTTTTGGCTCTGTATGCCACCAGAATAAATTAAAATGAAACAATCCAAATGAATTTGAAGTGCAGACTTTCAGCTTTAATTCAAAGGGGTTGAACATAAATATCAAGTACAAATTTTAGGAACTGCAACCATTTTTATACACAGTCCATCCGTTTTCAGGGGCTCAAATGTTATTGGACGAATTAATATAATCACCAAATGTTCATTTTTAATATTTTGTTGAGAATCTTTTACTGGCAATGACTGCCTGAAATCTGGAACCCATGGACATTACCAAAGACTGGGTTTCCTCCTTTTTGATGCTTTGCCAGGCTTTAACTACAGCTGTCTTCAGTTGTTCTTTGTTTGTGGATCTTTCTGCCTTTAGTTTTGCTTTCAGCAAGTGAAATTTGCATGTTCAATTGGGTTGAGATCAGGTGATTGACTCGGCCATTGCAGAATATTCCACTTCTTTTTCTTCAAAAGCTCCTGAGTTGCTTTTGCAGTGTGTTTTGGATCATTGTCCATCTGTACTGTGAAGCGCCGTCCAATCAACTTTGCTGCATTTGGCTGAATCTGGGCTGACAGTATATCTCTAAACACTGCAGAATTCATTCGGCTGCTTCTGTCTTCTGTCACATCATCAATAAACATCAATGACCCAGTGCCACTGGAACCCATGCATGCCCATGCCATCACACTGCCTCTACTATGTTTTACAAATGACGTGTGCTTTGGATCATCAGACTTCTCCACGCTTTTTTTCTTCCCTTCATTCTGGTACATATTGCTCTTAGTTTCATCTGTCCAAAGAATGGTTTTCCAGAACTGGTCTGGCTTTTTTAGATGTTTTTTGGCAAAATCTAATCTGGCCTTTCTGTTCTTCAGGCTTATGAATGGTTTTCACCTTGTGGTGAACCCTCTGTATTTACTCTTGTGGAGTCTTCTCTTGATTGTAGACTTTGACAATGATACGCCCACCTCCTGGAGAGTGTCCTTCACTTGTCTGGAAGTTGTGAATGGGTTTTTCTTTACCACAGAGAGGATCCTGCGATCATCCACCACTCTTGTGTTCCGTGGACATCCATGCCTTTTTATGTTGCTGAGCTCACCAGTGCATTCTTCTTTCCTCAAAATGTACCAAACTGTTGATTTGGCCACTCTTAATGTTGCTGCTATCTCTCTGATGGATTTGTTTCATTTTTGAAGCCTTACAATGGCCTGTTTCACTTGCATGGACAGCTCCTTTGAACGCATGATGTAGGTTCACAACAAAAGATTCCAAATGAAAATACCACACATAGAATCAACTCCAGACCTTTTACCTGCTTAATTGATGAAGAAATAATGGAGTAGCCCACACCTGGCCATGAAACCGCTTTTGATTCAGTTGTCCAATTACTTTTGGTCCCTTGAAAAAGGGGGGATAGCTACTCTTAAGAGCTGTAATTCCTAAACCGTTCCTCCAATTTGGATGTACATACCCTAAAATGAAACCTGAGAGTGTGCACTTTCAGCCCATATCCATTATATAACTATAGCTTGAATATGTTTTGGTAAATACCTGGAAAAAAAAAACTAAAATTGTGCCTGTGTCTAAATATATATGGACCTAACTGAATACTGGAATTTTTATATATTTTTTTATACTAGTAATGGCGGCAATATGTGACTTATAACGGGACTGCGGCGGGCATTCTGACACTGGGTGGGAACTAACTGCCACTGACATCTCCAGTTACACTAATACAGTGATCAGTGCTAATAAAAAGCACCAACATTGAACTAATGACACTGGGCAGGAAGGGGTTAACACATGGGGCAATTAAAGGGTTAACTGTGTGTTAGGGAGTATTTTTATTGTGCACTATGTGCTGTTTTACTAAAGAGACTTGCTACTTTCTATCTTTCAGCTGTGCTGAGAGATAGAAAACAGCACGTTCATGCTGACAGGAGAGAGATCTGTGTTGTTTACACACAGATCTCTTCCCTCTCAGCTTCGCCGACAATCACAGAGTCCCGGCCGGGACCCGGTGATTGACATCCTTAGGAGCCAATTGCACCGTGGGTAGGGTGGCGCACTCCCCCCCCCCCCCCCCCCACCCGGAAATGCTAAATCACGTATATGCGTGATTTTGCACAGCACAGCCGCCCTGTAGCAGTACATCTGTTATGGGGCAGTGGGAGAGCCGTTAAAGTGTTCCTGACTTTTCAAAAGTGACAGCAGTATTACAAAAAGTAACAATTAGTCTTCAAATTGTTTTCTACAGACCTGCTTTTGATTTAAAGCTAGTCATACGCTAGTAGAATTTTGTTCAAAATGTTTGTTTTGAAAACTTTTGTTCAGTGTTCTAATCATTAGTGGGGTCAAAACGATATTCAAAAGAGCAAAGAATGGAAAATTTTTGTCGAATAAACAAATTTTTTACATTGTATGTAGTTTTCATTCGGGAAAGTCCATTCGTTCCAGAATTAAATGACATTTTGAATTATTTTCAAACTACATTTGTCAAGTCATCTAATTTTTGCCCAAAAATGTGTTTGAAAATCTACTAGTGTATAGCAAGCTTTAGGCCACGGCTTTATATTGGGCAGCAAAGTTGAGACTTAATTCTTCCCTTTCTTTACATTTTTTCTTTTTTTTTTTTTTGTCTTTTTCTTAATTAGTTTCACTTGGTGGTCTGACCAGTCAATCTGCTATTTTTTAACTTTCTTTGCAGGCCAATCTGTCAAGACAAACTAGCAGTTAGAGGGTTGAGACAAACCATTTAACACTGACAGGGGTGCTGATAATGCTCAGATTTTTTTTTTGTAATATAAAACCTTTATTTCAAAATAGGATAAAACTGAAGCTGAACTCCAACTAACACTTTTTAAGCAGTTACAGCAACAATTTGGTAGTCATGTCCATCTAAATCTGCAACTCTAACACTACCCTCTCCCCAGACTAATAATGCTGCCATATAAAGTTGTCTGCTTTAATGATTATCGAGAATGTAGACACCCTATGACTAGAAGTATGTTACTGGTTGGATCATCAGGTGAAAATAAAGGGAAAAAAAAAACACATTAAAATAGAAAACTAATACAGCTACCACATTTAAGGATTGGTAAGTTGAAATAAATTAGATGTTTGTTTTTGGGTTTTATACTGTTTTAAGCCCCATCCTTCATTTAATGGTCAAAATGCCTGAGCATTAACTGTCCACCAATGACCTGGTTAATCAACATGGCCAAAAATGCCAAACCCACTATGAGTGAGATTGCAGCTGTTGCATTATGGGTGGTTGTGCCATAGTGTGCAGTTATGCTATGCAAATATATACACTGTGCAGTAGGCCAGTCATTATAAACCTCCTCTGCTTTTTTTATGGCTGGCCACTGTGACATTGCATTGTAGATGTCTGAATCAGAACTGTCTGGCCTTGTTTATAATGATGTTTTCTGTACTGTTCTGTAGATGAATTTTAATTTAGGCAATCAGCTTTGGGACGGTTACCTCACAATTTGTTTTCATCATTATAGTATACTTTTTTTTTTCAATTTAAAGTAAATGTGATCCTTTCTGTTTTTATGCTCTAACCCTAGGGGTTCTGTCATTTTACCCATTCAGGCAGAGTGACAGGTTCTATTAAAAAACAAAAAAAAAAAAAAAACCCTCCACCACCACCTTCTGACACACACCTTCTCCATGTCCCCATGCCACTTTGTTCCTTTGTTGAGCCCTTGGTAATTGTTGAGTGCTTACAGGTATGCATGATCTCTGATATGTGATCACCTCCCAGGGTGCAAAACAAACATAAGAGTCCAAGGTAATTTAATGATGCCTTTCAGGGATGAAATGCCATCCCCCTTCCTCAGGGATTATGAAATCTGACTGGTCAAATTGACTCAGCTGGGCAGATACCAAATGGAACTGCACTGTTGATTTACTACTTGTAAAGTTTCAGGATGAAAGGTTATGAGTTTGCTGCATACACTAACACTGGTATAACCTGGCCTCCTGTCCATTTGAGCACAGGCAGAATTCTTGACGTAGAACTTAAGGCAAAACTTTTTTCCATTTTGGATAGAGCGAGGGAGAGTTATGACTCCTGTAAGGTTTTTTGGTTTTTTTTTTTTTTTTGCAACCTGTGTTTGGGAGATTTCACTTCCTGTCCCATAGCCAACACAGGAAATGAGATGAAATCCTTCCATAGTGAGTCACATAACAGTAAACAGGACAAATGGAGAGGAGGAATCTCCCTAACAGGGGCACAGGCAGCAATAAAAACTGATGGGTGTGCCAACCCCTCTCTACTCTAAAGACAAAACGTTTTCAATTTTGAATAGTTTTACTTTAAGCCTTGATAAACAGGGAGTGTGTTTTGCACCTGAAACACTTTATTCTCTTTGAATCAGTTTGATCATTAAAGTAGAACTATAGGTAAAACATTTTCTTCATTTTGGATAGAGTAAGGGGGGGGGGTTATAACCCCTGTCAGATTTTTTTCCTGCCATCTGTGTTCCCTAGGGGAGATTTCTCATCATGTCCTATCCCATAGCCAAAAAGGAAATGAGAGGAAATCCCTACAAATTATGGGAATTACTTGGGGACCACCAGGTTATCAGAACTAATGTCCCCTTTGGAAGATTTCCTTTCTATTACTTTTCTGAGGGCAACCTAAAATTAGGGATTGTCTTTAACTTTCTATTTGTCCTGATTACCATTATCATTGAAAGTGAGAGGGTGAATCTCCTTAATGGGTGCCCAGACAGAAATAAAAACTGGCAAGCTTTCTAAGTCCTCTGCACAAAAAAAGTTTTTCCTTTAGTTATACTTTAAATTACCTTGGACTCTTACAATAAACATGGCATTGTACCGTTAGTGGGCAAAGTTTTTAAATACTTGAATTACCTGTAGAATTCAGATTTTGAATGCTCGTCTTGAGTTTTCTGCATGGTCACTTGAGATTTCATAGTATATTTTTCTTTGTTTACTTTCCAGGACAAGCTGTGTTTACCCCACCACATCTTAGAAGAGAGGGGATTAGTAAAAGTTGGAATCACAGTTCAGGCACTGTTAGAACTTCCACTGCTGAGAGCTTCGCAACTTTCTTCAGTTTAATCCCAAATCTAGTACTGACACTCTTAGGACTCAATCTCAAGCCTCAAGTCTGGACTGTTCTGAGATTTGCTCCTCTGAAGTTATGTTAGCCCTAAAAGGGAATTGCGCACACCTGCTGTATTATCACTAATTCTAGTGAACCACAGTGGTATATTTTTAGACATTTGACATATTTTAAAATATTTCTGTCTGTAAAATGCATCTGTGAGGTGTCTTTTTTTGCATGTTTGTGTGTTTTTGAATATGTGACATATTCATAAATACACAGTTTTAACACCATGAAAAGCCACCTTAAAGTGAACCTGTTAGTTCTGGCCATACTATTCCCTTGTATAGAGCATAATGCCCTTTGCAGTCCAGGAAATGCACAGCATTTTTTGGACCAGTGTTCTTATCCAAGATGGTATGTGAGCATTTCTCTGCTTAGCCTTGAAGTTGTAGTATATAAAGCATGCCTAGAAAAAAGTGAGTTGTTGGATGCAGGAGTCTGTATTCAGTAACACTTTGCTCAGTGTTGGAGGTGCCAGAGCAAATGCCCCACCAGAGATTTACTGTCAGATGTGCCACACTTTGATCTGAATCTGCATACTCTGCCCAGTTTATCCAATATAAGAAAGGTGTCCAGTGAGCATTGACAACCACTTCCAGTTAATATGCGGTTTTATTGGTGGACACCTTCACGATGAACGCTAAGCTTAGAAATGCACAAAAAGATGCAGGGGGAGTGCAGGACTCCTCTCGGCCTTCCCTGAGAACAGGCCTGAAAAGCTGCCATCGGCTAAGCAGCAAGCTTTCAAGATCTTTATTCTTTGCATACAAATGCAGACACTTGGAATATGGGAGTGAGTATTGTTTTCATCAGGCTACTAGTGACCATATGACCTTTATACTTTGCAGGGTAGGGTCTTGAAATGATTTGGGGGGGAGATAAAGCTAGTCTGTAAAAGAAGCAGCTCCAATACTTGCGTTTCCTGGGGCAGTGTGTTTATTATATAGCAACATACCAGCTGGTGAGAGAAACAACAACACTCAGTGGAGGACATTCTATCAGACACTCCAGGAAGTGTCCAATACCAAATGTTTCACACTGCTGTCAGAAAAGTAAGTACACAGCTTTTTTTTTTCTACAGTCTGGCTCTGTTTACCTCCTAAGTTACAACTACTTCTTTCTGCCCAATCATAAAGTGCACTATGTATACTATGAAGGGCTACTCTGACTAAAACTGACAGATTCTTTTGATTTCTTATAATTTTAGTGCTGTAGAACAATGTAAATATTCCGATCTAGTCCTTGTAGTTTATTTTTCACCAGTGAAATCAGTTTAACAATGATTAGTTTTGAGGTATTATTTATTGCATTTATGGTAATTTATATATATATTTTTTTTTTTTTTGGCATCTTGGGTATTTTAATTTTGTGATTTTTAGTGACTGCTAAAAGAAAGGAAACTGACCTAATTTCTCTGGGTTTTATATATGTATATATTTGTAATTTTTTTAAGTATTATTTTTATAATCTGAGTTGGTGCCAAAATATGATTTTTTTTTCTTCTTCTGTTGTAGACTGTTTACATGTGAAGTGCCTGTGTAACTGACCTTTATAGAGTCCAAATTTCCACAAAGTGAACTGAGACTTTCCGATGTCAGTTTTGTATTGTCAAGAAGTTAACAGGGTTTCACATTTGTTTTTTGTTACGTTTGGGTTACTTTGAAATGTGACATTTACTTTGCTGACTGAGCACTGGATTTTCATTGTAAATATTTTTTTTTTTTATAGTTTTTAATTTAAGCTAAAATTATGTTTGAAGACTGGATCTTTGAGTTGCTCGGGTAAACATTCTTAATGCATTTCATTACTGGAAGTAAAGAACTCTTTATATAAATACTGATCAGTGTGCATTGAAGAGTGACATTCTTGCTTATTTGTACAATCAGCACTAGGTGGAATCTGTGTGAGAGAAAAAAAATGCATTGAGTCACATTTGTGCCCCAAGAGAAAAAAAAATGCGTTCGAAAAATTAAACGAAGATCGTGCAACAGTCTCTTCCTTTCTTTAGAGGCCTAATCAGCCACCATAGTATCCATGCAGCATAGTCCTTTAGAAATACTTGTTAGCATTCTTGTTCTTTCCTTCCACGTCTCCATTCAGTGTCTCGGGCTGTATATGTATGAAGCTGATCTCCTGGTTTTGGATTGGACCAGAGAATAATAAGAACTGCAGCATTATAGCAAGGCTGGGTTTACAGCTGATGCCCCTGTAAGCCCAGAGCCTTGAATATAAATAAAGAGCAACTATGTCCCGCAGGGAGCAGGATTTTGTGTTCAAATAAGATGGTCACTAAATATAAATCATTATCACTTCCCCTACAAAGCCAGAGCAGATATTGTGCAGTCCAGGGCCTAACACGCAGAATTATTTTGTCTCTCTATCCTCTTCCATAGTAATATATTTGTAGTAAAAAGCTATAGGCTAGGTTTATGTTTCGGCAAAATAATGTATCCAGTCAAGGAACCCCTGTGGCATTATAAAATGGTACAGCTTTGTAGAATGTTCATCACAGTGATACTAAAGGCAGTTTTTTTTTTTGTAAAACAGATTCTTACCTGATGCATGCAGTGATATTGCAGAAAAAGTTTCTGTCTTCCTCTTCTGGCAGTCCCCACCTGCGGTATTGGCTCTTCCCTCCTTCAGGTGCTTGCTTCTTTTGGGTGTTGAGCTAGGCTCAACACCCAAAGGCTAGTCCATAGCTAGTCCATAGCCACATACAGCACAAGTAAGACACTTCCTCTGCTCCCTCTTCACAGGAGCTTGACTGACAGCAAGAGGAGCCTGCTCCTGTGATAGCAGGAGGTGAGGGGAGCAGTGCTTTAGCTGGAATAGTGACATGGAGCTAGGTGGGTGTTTGGGGACAGAGGGGAAAGTAGGACAGGTAGTGGGTATTTTTTCCCTTAACACAGAGAATAGTAAAAATGTTTAGAGTTGACTACCATGTTCATTTTATTGTCATACCTGTAGGCCATATTTTGCCGTCCCCCCACCCAGAGCCTGGCTGCAAAACTCCCTTATAGCAATCCCCACATCCTGCCTTGTTGCTAGGGTGTGAAAACCAACAGTCTAGATGTACAGGAAGCAAGGCTGGACTTGAGGCTTGTTAACTAGACGTTTTTCAGCCAGGTTTCCAGGAGTGCTCAGACGGTCTACAGCAGGGGTCTCCAAGCTTTACAAACAAAGGGCCTGTTTACTGTCTTTCAGAATTTAGGTGGGTCGGATTGTGGCCAGTGGAAGTAGAAAATGTCCTGAGCCCAGCATCCCTGAGAATAAACATTGCCACAAGGTTGGTAGTCCGGTACATAGTGCCTGTGGTCAGTAGGAGGAATAGTGGCCCATCATTGGAAGAAATGGCACCCTTTTGTTTGTGTCAGTGGGAGGAATAGTGCCCCACTATTAGCGTCAGTAGCAGGAATTATGCCCCACTGTTGGTGTCAGTGGAAGCAATAGTGCCTCATATCAGTGAGAGGAATATTACCCCAAGGGCCAATGAAAGGCTAGCAAAAGGCCGCATCAGCCCTTAGGCCACAGTTTGGAGACCACTGGTCTACAGGTATGACAATAAAATTAATGAACATTTTACAAAGCTGCACAGTTTTATAATACCCATTGGGGCCCCATGACTGCATAGACTATTTTCTGGAAAATGTGAACTTAGCCTTTAATTGCTGAGTTGCTTTAATTTTAACACTTATTCTGTTACAGATGTGGTACTAAGTTGGCTATTCATTTTATGCTGCTAAGTTATTAAAGATTTTGTGACTTATGGTAGACTGACAAAGCAAGAGACAGGAGAAAAAAAAACATTTTTTTTTGTCTATAACCCTTTTTTGTATGTTAGTTAAATTTTTTAAAGGAGAATTAAAGTTGTAATAAGAGAAGCATACCAATTGCTGTTGCTAATCGCTGCTGAAAATGCTGGTTGCTTGGCTGTACAATAACCCTCTTGCTTCCATATTTTGGGTTGGGTGACCAGGAAAGAGTACATAGAAAAGGACTTGCTGATCAGTATTGGTTCTGGGTCAGTGACTGAAGGTAATTAAACCAATAGTTCAGCATAACACCCCAGCAAGTAGCATTTTCAGAAATTGGTAAAGGGATCCTGTTTGCTTTTTTTGACAGGTTCTTGTTAAAATATAAGAGTGCTATTTCCCATAGCATTGTTTTTTTTTTTTTTTTTTTTGCTGTCACTGTATCTATTTTAATCAGACCTCTTATTGGGTATTGTAGGATCCTATAGCTTGTGGAGGTGTCTTGTAACACTTGTAAAAAGTCCTTGGTTACCAACAGCACTTGTTTTCCTGACCTCTCTCACAGATCACATTACCAAAATGTTTAGGTTTTAGTCACATGACCAGCTACTGTGGTATATGGGAGTCTTAGTTTATACAGCAAACACAATTCATGTCTTCCAGTGTAGGGAAGAGGAAGGTGTTGAGATTATTTTTTTACAGACTGTTTTTCTGCATTAATGCAACATTATTCTAAAATATTTTAACATGCTGTATTATTTTTATGATCATATTCAGTACATTTCAGCTGAATTCGTCATGGCATGGATTCCACAAATATTCCTTTGTGTGATGCACGTTACCACTGATCAGAATCTCAATTACTGTGCATTTGTCAGCTGCATATTTATGCTGTGAATCCTCTCTTCTGCCACATCCCCAAAGTGTTCTTTTGGATTCAGAACCAGTGACTGGCCCACCATCTGTGCATCTCAGCAAAAATCAAGATTCATTAGACCAAGCTAAATGTTACTGTGGCCTTTCTGTCAGCACAAACCAGTCTGGCCTTTTAACTCTGACCTCTCATCAACAAGTGTTTCTGTGCACAGAACGTGAGACTGTTGGAAGATCAGCAGTTCTAGAAATTCTAACCTGCATGCCTGGCATTACAGAAGATCGGCAGTTATAGAAATACTCTAACCAGCACATCTGGCACCAAC